GAACGTGTCTTTCTTTCTTTTTTTCTTTCATTCTTCTGGGGCACTCAGATTCCCCACTAGCCGACCCAGCTTGGCACACATTGTATAAGCTGCCAACTGCCAAGAAGACTGGCAACCTCCAGTGGCAGTTGCTGCACAGCATTCTAGCCACCGGCACATTGGTGTCCCACTTTGACCCAGCCCCCTTGATGGCCTGCCCCTTCTGCCCCGGAGGTGGTGAAGAGAACCTTTTTCATGCCTTCCTTGACCGTCCTCACCTGCGGCCACTCTTTGTCACCCTTGAGCTGCTGCTGCGGGAGCTGGGCAGGAGCCTCTCGGAGAACACCTACATGTGCCCCTACCCTTCCCGGGCAGCTGGGCGGGGTTCCATCTGCCTGGCCAACTTTCTACTGGGTCTAGCCAAGTTGGCCATCCTCAAGAGCCACTGCAACTGGCTTACTAGGACTGGCTCAAATGATGCCCTGAGGCTTTTCTGCCTCCTGGTGCAGGTGCGCCTCTCGCTGGAGTTTGAGTACACTGTGCTCTGGCAGGTGGTGCCTGACTTGGAGGCATGCTGGGCCCTTGAGGGAGCAATGTGCCATGTGGAGGACAGCCATCTTTAATACGTGCTAGGATGTCATGACCAGTTTGGGCAACCGGGCAGGCTCGGTAGCAGACTGTGACTCCCAGATCGTGCTGTGCCCTGGGCCCTCACCAGGCTGGTTTTTGCTTTTTTTCTTTGTGTGGGAAGTTGAAGGTGTTGTCACATGTATGATTGGATACAGCAGGGTAGGAATCGTGTTTATAGAGGACTTTGGTCTGTATGACCGTGTGGCCGGTGCCCTGACTGCATAGCGGCATGTTAGGTATGACGTGTAATACAGTGAAGGTATCTGTCACGATGTGATGTTATGAATGCAATGACATGGTGCTCTTGGTTTGATGGTAATTTGTTTGTCTTTGGTTTGTATATTGGAGCTGGACCCTGAAGGGATCAAGTTTTTGTACCCTGAATCCTTGAATAAAGTAGTTAAAAAGTCAACAGTCAAAGTCTTTCTTTCTTTCTAACCCAGTTTTTAATATACAGTCACAGTTAAAATTCTAAGGAAAGCAATAAAAATGACCAGTTAAATCCAAGTGATAAATCTACTCTATTATGCATTTGTTAATAATCATTTCAATCCCACCAATATTTTCCAAATAGATTTAGAACTAATGGCAGGGATGAACAATCTGCAAAGGATTTTGTCTGTATTTTTTTCTGCTCAACTTCATATGACCTTAGAATAAATATATTAATACCATAAATTTATATATATTTTTAGTAAATATTCTTTGCCCTTGAATTTGTACATACTTGACAGAGATACAGGTCCTAATGATTCACTTGATGAAGATACAATATCTTGTATGCTTCCCAGTAATTAGATACAGTGATTTATGACTGAAATTTAAAATCTGTTCCAATCCAGTTGACAAAGTTTTTAACATGGCTTTAAACTTTTTAAATTCTTATTATATATCCATGTAATTTACCTGGGTCTAAATTTAACTAAAACCTTTGGCTGTAATGTATGTATACCATATAGCTTTTAGAGGACACACATACCAGGCTGTGATTACGAACATAAAAAGGATAGTTTTTGGAACTATAATGGAATAAAGAAAGGAAATGTGAGTCCAAGTCCTGACTTGGGCAGGGCACTTGGGGCTAGATTTAATACAGGACTTAGGATCTGTACTTCCTAACATTTAGGATTATATCCACAATCTGGTTGGAATTTAAAACTGTATTTTAGGCAAAAAGGTTCGCTATAAAGTATATAGGGTAAGTTAAGAACCTCAGAAAAACAATCCTCCAAATTCTGCTTGCTGAATGGAAGACAGCTTAGTATTAGCCAATAGGAAATGTTAAACAACAATTTGTGTCAATGCCGGACCCTCTCTGGAGCCCACGTGCCTAAGTCAGGGGCACAGGGACTTGCCTTTGTCCATTCAGAATTCAAAAACCACCTTGGTTTGCTCCTCCTGAAATCTTCAGAAGATGTCAAATAGTCACCATTATTCTATTCTAGAACCAATTGTGACATATTATGGAGTAATTATTAAGCTAAAAAAGATCTTTTGGGGACAGAAGTTAGAAAGCAGATAACCTTTTTAATATCACTGTATTCAGAAAACACCTTCTGCTAGATATATAACTTGTAAGTCCTGCCTGTGAAATTGCTAAGTTACATATCTCTAAACCTCCAACAAAACCTGCAGAAACAAGACAGGTTGTAATTCTTGCTGACTAAATTCAAAGAATTGTCTGTATGAGATACTTACTGCTCAGTAGCTGAATAACACTGCGTAGTAGCATGCCGGTCAAAAACCATGCTAATACTCTACTGTGTAGCATTATTAGACTAATGTACAGTAAGTATCACAAAAAAAATGTGCATCAGCACTACTGTGCAGTAGCGTGAGTTACTACACATTTAGTTAGTACTTCATTAAGCAAGTACTAAATTAAATGTGCAGTTACTACTGCTCATTAATAAATGTGTAGACATGCCTACTGTAAAATAGCAGTCTTTTATTTAACGTGAAATTTAAACTACTATGAAAGTCTTGTACTCTCTACTTTGACAGACATCTTTGACCAACATCTAGTTATCTTTATTGTACCTTCTTCCATCCTTTGCAAAGGATATCAGGCTCAGCGCCACCATTTAGTTCATTTTCCTTTCCTGTCATTATACTTTATCAGTATGTCAAAACATAATCTTTACTGAAAACATTCCTTAAGAGTTGCTTTTTCCATTTAGCCCATGACTTTCATCCAGGGGCAGATCCAGAGGGGGTGTGCTTCCAGTTTCCAACCTTGCAGCAGGAGCAGCAGCCAAACTGATGCTTTTTAAGTCCCTTTTTTTTAAGTCCCTTTTTTTTCAGCACCACTTTTTAAGTCCCTGAAGAAGACTGCTCCCTCCCTTCTCCACCATGCTTAGAAGTACGCCCCCTCCCTTCCTGTCCCCATCCTTTCCTCTTCCATATAGTTATATGTAGTTAACCTTAACACTTTTTTAAAATGCATATTGCTTAATAAAACTGTCATAAAAGGTATTCCAGATCCAAAATATTAGGGCTGTCAAATGATAAAAAAATTGATCATGGTTAGTTGTGTAATTAAAAAAAATAGTCACAATCAATCGAGATTTTAATTGCACAGCTAAAAACTCAAAATTATGCACAGAAAAACTCAAAATTATACAGGTACTTTGTATGGTTGGGAGTGGGGGTGGGGTGCATGGGGGGTGGAATTTGTGAGGGTGTGGGGGCTGTGGGTGCGTGTGTGCAGTTTGGAGCTGGGGGTGGGCACATGAGGGTCTGGAGCCCAGGAAGAAGGGACCTCAGCATGCCCTGGCAAGTTGTGGGGTATTGTGGGTCAGGAGTGAGAGGCAGCAGCAAGGCTGATGGGGCTGTGGCTTGGAAGTGAGGAGAAGGGGCAGGGCACAGGCATATCACTGCCCCCCCATCATATTCCCCACCGCCCCAGTGTCCTCTTTTTTTAAAACTAGAAATATGGTAACCCTACAGGAATGCAACCCAGCGGCATGCAAAGTAGCACCCAGCAGTTATGTCTGTGCAGGGGAAGGGGTCGAGGGGACAGATCGAGGAAATTATGGTGAGGCAGGGAGTGGGAGAGGGGTGGGGGCTAGGGTGAACTGAATCCTGGGGCTGGGGTGGGTCATGGGACAGAGCTGTGGGCTGCTCATCTAGTGAGATAGGGGAGCAGCTCCTGGCCACTGTGTGCACCTGGGAGAGGCATGGGGGGCATGTGCCCCCCAGATTTGTGCATGTGTCTTTACCTCAGGAGCCACACACTGGCTGTGCTGCATCCCCTGCCTGCCCAGCAGTGGGAAGTGCAACATGGCATTGCATGGCTTCCAGGGCAAAGGCAGTAGGGTGCAGAGCCCAGCCTGCAGCAGGCAGCCTACATCCACCCCACGTACAAATCAGGGGGCACATTCTCCCCATCCATCCTATGAGGGTGCACTCAGAGGCTGTGAGCTGCCCCAGCCTCAGGGTCCCATTCACTCCAGCCCTTGCCCCTCTCCCTGCCCCACTCCCTCCCTCACCATGGAGGCCTTGATTTCCCCACTCACCCCTTTCACATCCTGATATGGCATTGATATATAAGTGTACCTCTAAGTGTGTGTGTGTGTGCACACATGCATCTGTGTGTGTGTGTCTGTATATGTGTGTCTAGCCCGTTCTGCCTTCCAGCTGCAGCAGCCTGGGGCCTGCATCTGGGCTGCCTTGCAGCTCCTTGGTGGTGGAGAGGAACCCAGGCATGGTGTCCAAAACCACAGGCATTATTAATGTGTTAAAAACATTAACAAGTTAATTGTTTTTCTGTTAATTGCACAAGTCAACACCAATTAATTGATAGCCCTAAAATACATATATCAAACATTAACTTATTTCTTATTATTACATTCATATTTGTTTAACTCTATATTTAAATATAGTAATGGCAATATTTACATGCCACCATCATATGCCATATTTAGATTTTACGTAGATGATAGTTAAACCAGGACTTTTAAGTTGTACAACCTCTTCCCTCCCCTCCCCTCCCCTCCCCTCCACTATGGTGGTTCAAATAAAATACAACATATTTCTGAGCTGCTAGTGGCATTGCAAAACCAAATCACAGTCTCTTCATCTCATTTACAATATTAATTAAACTCAGCATGTGTATTTTTTTCTAAAAATGCTAGTTAAAAGGCAGAGGGCCAGACCCCACTGCTGTTGCTCATGCAGACTCCAACCAGATTCCTTGGGAATTTACCTGAATAAGAGCCATAGATTCAGGTACTGAATTTGTAAGCCACCTCTGAAAACAGATGTATTTTCAACTGGATTTTATACTAAAGTCTTTACAGCACTGTATTAACTACATCTAAAAAGCCACTTGGTTGTGACCATTTCTTTTTACAGCCTGATAATTAGGAAAGTTCTATAAAGGCACTTACCTACAAATAGCTGACTGTTGAGTTGCAAACGGATATGCCCATCAGATGGAGCAATGTGAGTCCTTTGAGGAAGCTGATCTATTTGTAATGATGCCTCCTTGATGTTTCTTTCAGCCTTCACATAATGCCACTGGTTGTCATTTAAGGGAGTGGGTGATTGCACTGTAACTTCATTAGGTCCATTTCCCACATCAAATGAAAAGGTCACTGCAGCAGGAGCTAAAAGCATAATACAGGTAAGAGTTTGTTCAAGTTAACCCACATGTAAAAATGTTTAGAATATTGGGTCACAAAAGTAAAAGTCACTAAATGGCACAGAGAGGTACTGTCTCAAAATGTCTATCCTATATTCCTTCCTTCTAGCTATGAGATAAAACAAATAATCTTACTATCTGGAAACTTGATTTCAGCAGACCCATCCACACATTTCATTCTTTATATGATCAGGTATTGAAAGCAAAAGTTTGCCTACAGCATGAACACTGAGGTGGTTGAGGCCTCATAGTGAGTGTGCTAGTCAAAAAACAGAAAATGTGCTAGTTTCCTTAGGTTTCAATTGGGATAAAAAACATGTCCTGCCAACATGCTAATTGGTTGTCATCAGAAGCTTTAAATTTTACTTATCACCACTACTGATTATTTTTTTCCTTTAACAAAATCAAATCTACACATTGGTAGAATGTTTGTTATATGTTACCACAATTTTCACAGACACTAAAGAACATATTTTGGCCTACAGAACATATATACTAGGTTATGTAAAGCATTTGTGTATTTTATCAAAAAATGAATTTTGCCAACCAGCAAAATACTCACAATTTGTTTCTTAACTTTTGGTGAAAAGTACTATAATGTCTGTACATTGCCATCACTTAAAAAGGTAATTAAATGAATCTCATTTGAAGCTGAAATGCTTCTAGAAGGAACAAATGATTTTGATAATATTCTACAATATACTTAACTCCTTACAATTTCCTTTTTCATAGGTCTTAGAACTTTGAAAGGGACAGGGGATACATTTTATACCCCAAATAGCTATATCAAATTTTAGTATACCAAAGTCAAAATACTTGGTATACTGCTGCCTGTAAATCCTTTTTTGACCAGCTTTTTTAAGTACAGCTTATATTAAATCTTGACCTTAAGGTAGAACAACTCACTCTGCAGACTTCACTTATGTGTAGTCAATAGGAACTGACTGGCCACAATTCCTTCACATATTTTTGAACACATAAGCTTCCACTACAAAGTACAATAATAGGGCAGACCTTCAGCTAGAATAAATCAACATACATCCACTGATGAACAGTCCTTATAAGATTATGGTTCAGCAAGCAATTAGAGTTATTTAGACAGCAAGACCTGGCATATAATGTTTCTTTTCTAATGCCAATGCTGTTTAAGGAAAAGTACTCCAACATTTTGGCATGGCCAAAGAAAGTATTTGAAGCTAAAATACAATGTGGAAAATGTGTTGTTAACATATTTTAACATTTGAGCTGGGAAGATTAATTATAAGTATTTTCCATAAAAAAGGTTTCTGCTTAATAATTTCCTTAACACCAAGGATCTTATGCATGCATGTGTACAAACACATATCCTGTTTAAAATAATGTAAAAAAAAAAATCAAACAAGTGATGCCTTATGAAAAGACTCTCAGTAATTTTAGCTAAGGGTATTAATAAAGAACTATAGGACTAGGCAAATAGAAAATATTTCCATTAACTTCAGTAGACTCTGGATTAGACTCCAAGGGAAAAGCATTGAGATTTAGAGGTGGTCAAAGGAAACTAAAAATTTACCAACATAATTTTGAAACAAAACTCTAGGCCTTTTTGAATCATTTAAGAAGTAGATGGGGTTATTGTCTTAGAGATTAATTTTTCCTCTTTTTAAAGTTATCTGGAACTGTTATATAACACCTTTAATCCACTTTGGCCAATGTTTACACTGACATACTAAAGTCATGCAATCCTACTGAAAACAAAGGGATTGAATTGTTATTAAATCAGCACAAACCTTAGCTTCTGCTGAGAACTTTGCAATAAAGCAAGACAAGTACATGGGTGTTTTGCTTTCTAATTAAAATCAGCTATATCTTGCAACTTATTTTTAAGAAGAACTCCTCTCTGAAATGAATTATCATTTTGGCTTAAAAATCAATTCATTGTATGGAGCAGAAAGAATAGAATGGTTGGTGTTTAATAATAGCTTAATAGTAAAATAAATCATAGAGAAAGTTCTCATTAGATAGACTTATTTGTGAATCAGTCTCGCCCTTTTACACGAAAAAATGAGAATACAAAATCAGCAGAAATTCCATGAAATCAAACACAGATTCAGCAGAATGTTTCCCTCACAGAGGAGGGCGGGGATTATATTCTAATGGACAATTTTGGGTGAAGTCTGAAAACACAAATTCTGCTTTGAACAAACAAAATATGCTTGTTAGTGGCAAATTAGATAATAGACCCAATAAATAATGTGGCTGTGCAGTCTCTAATGCCAATGCAATTTAAAATGAATGTTTGAAATACCCAAATGAAAGAATGAATATTGAAATCTGGAAAAGTGTCTGATTAAAGACAATAGCATGCATTTTTCCTAACTCTGTAAAACTAGTAATCAAATATTTCCTGTAGGGGCTGATTCAGTCCCTGTATTTTAAGAGATAGCTGTAGGAAATACTTTTCTTTTCCCATGGATGACTAGTGATATATAATGTATTATACCCTGATGCAGTGTAATTTTCATGACTGTTTGTAAAATGAACAGCCCTACAGCTTAGAAATTTCCTATAAGAATCTTGGTCTGACATACCTTGGTCAGGCAAAAGTAAGGATAGAGCCTTAAAAGCCTTAAAACCAGTAAGTTTTAAATAAAGGTCAAATATTAAGCCATAATAATGTTAAAAATAGACTTTTGTTGTTAACTATTGTGCAATGTTAAGTATTAATGGTATAGTAAGTTTTAAATCATTTTGAATATATCCTTACTTTAAATGCTGTCCCAAACCTGACATTTTAATTTTTGTTATTTATTATTACACAAGACAAATATAACACATTGATTTACATCGACCCATTAATAACATACTGAATGTAAGTTGGTGAGTTACATTACAATATATTTGAAATGAATTTATGATGAAAAAACCCCTAAATGATTCCAAGCAATGTCGAATAGTCAAGGTGATAAAATCTTTTGTTAAAATCAGAAAATGTATATTTTTATAAAAGAAATTATTTAATTTGCTGTACCCCTAGAAGAAAGATAAATTATATTTATAGGCCAAAACCAACATTGCAGTAGCTACTAGGCATTTTTTAAGCATACG